CAATTCAACTTTTACGATGTTCTTGTTGAGATTATTTAATTGAATTATATCAGTGATTATAAAGTTATTTTGTTCAAGTGCATGTGGTTTCACTTGGGTGATAAAAAGAGGTGAATTCACAAAGATGCATGGTCATTTGTTAAGTATCAATATTATCAAATGTTGGTATGAAAGTGACCCTTTATCTTGGCAGTTCAAGCAAAACATATTTTTTATTTTGATGATACCAAGTTAGGGAAAGATTGAAGAGCAGTTCAAAAGTTTAATCATAGATACTTATATGATGTTTCAGAGATGTAAAATATTAAAAATGATGAAGTCCCTAATGTAGGTGAAGATTTTGAAAATTCAGACCTTGATATGAAAATGCAATTTTCAGAAAATATATCTTTACATAGAGATTATATTACTGCAAATTTTATTAACTATGAGATTGTAGATAATGTGAATGATTTGGTTGACTCTGATCAAGAGAGTGAAGATGACACTGGAAGGGATGAAATCGAATGTGATAAATATGATACTAATATAGAACCTACTTTGTAGTTATGTTGTTTTAATCTGAACTGTGTGGTTTTTTTTACAAAGAATGTTGAAATTTGTAGATTGAAATTTAACTGTGTTGACAATTTAAGAGTTTTATAATTTGTTTTTTGTATGACACTTTTTTAATAATATCATTTTTTTCTTCTATTTTATTTTTATTAAAAGAGTTTTAAAATTATTAAAGTTATATGTATCTAAATATATTTAAGCTTTATGGGTTTTTGTATGATCATGTATAAGTATCTATTTTGTGTGTGTAAACACTTTGGTATAACTTCATGAAAATTATAGAAGTAGAATAATAAAGAGAAAATTATCTAATTATTTTTTATTTACAATTTTTATTTTTTATTTTTCTCTAAAACAAAATTTGAATGTGAGATAATACAAAAAAATACCAATAGAATTAGAAACACTAAAAAATCTCTCCAAATTGCATTGTTCATTAATGTATATATGATATCTTTTTTTAACGATTGAAATTTTAAGCTTAAAATAAAAAGCATTTAAAAAAATGGTCACTAGAAATATTTTTAATTAGTCACACAACTAATATATAAAATATTATTGTGCAAAATATTAAATGGCATAATTTTATGATCGACGTCTTTTAAAGTTACCATATAAAAAGGATATAACAATGAGTGACAAATAATTGATTTTGTTATGTTAAAATTATTTTCTATCACAATAATAAAATGTCACTTTTAATGTCTTATAAAATATGACGAATCAAATTGTCATTAATAAAATATATTAGTGATAAATGTGCAACATCACTAATCCAGATTGAATCGTCATTATAATAAATCGCCACTAATATTTTTATTTCATTGGAGACGATTTTATAACGTCCCTTTTGGAGGTAAATTTTTGCATCAAACATATAATGACGAAAATTAATGATAATTTTCAAAATTGTCACATACAATATACCGTTAATAATTAAATATGACGAAAAAAAGTCATCTTTATAGTATATTTTGTGACATTCTCTCTCCCTCCCTCCCTCCCCCTCCCTCCGTCCCTCCCTCCGTCCCTCCCTCTCTCACATCAAATGGTCATGAATCCTTTATATCTTATGAAATGAAAATAGAAAGTTTAAGATTAACGATAAGAAATTATAAGATATTTACTGAAAAATAAAAAGTTATATTTGTCATTTATTTTTACTCATCTAATTATCTTAAATATGTATAAAACTAAAAGAGTTTATATATATATATATATATATATATGAGCATGCGCATGGTCAAAGGCACCAACCACAGGAGAGGTCCCTCCACTTAGGTTTATGTAGTAAAGAAATGTGTGGCATTTTGTATTGGTCGATCAAGTCAAATGAAGCAAATGATGAGCTCCAATTCTTCGTCCCTCAACCTCTCCACTTAGAGTTGAATAATTTTGATTAAGAAGAAGTCATCGGAAAGGACCCCCTTTTTTTCATTTATTTAATGGTTCCTACATCTTAGGAAGTCCTCACCCTCTTGCAATCCTCAAATCTTTTAACACTGAAAGGCTCGCTGCTACTCATTTTTTTTTACCCTTTTTCAAAGTGTCACAACCACTACACTAAAACATTTGATTCTCTGTCGTGCTAGGCTGTAAAAACGTGTAGTTAGAAGGAATCTGTCATGTACTTTCAGCACATGCTCTTTTTACTGATTTTCACCGGCTCACGGCCAAATTTCATCGCTTGTAACTTTTACTCCGAATTAGAAATAGTAAATCGCTAACAATCAACCTAGTTAACTTATTTTCGTCAATAATATTGAACTTTTTTCATATTTTTAGAGCATTATTCCATATGATGCTCTGCTATTTCTATTCGAGAGGGCTGGTCAGTTTTAAGATAAGGTTGTTCTTTGTTCGGAAATATTGTGAATTTAGTTATTGGGATTGTTGGGGAGGGCCAGTGTCCGCTTTGATATTTTCGTTTTGTTAGCGTCAGTGGACATGTACTTTTTACCTTGTTAAGAGTATTCTTTTACTTCAACTAAGTTTAGGGAGGTTTTTAACGAGACTCTTAATATATGTTTGTTTAATTAATAAAATTCATCTTGCCGCGCAAAAAAAAAATACGGATATATGAGAAAATGAAGATCATTCGATAACATTGGTCTTGGCTCTTTGTGAGAGTATTGCAGTACATAATATTACAGTAAACCTAAACCAAAATCCTTCATTCGAACACCAAATTTCAGGTCTCTTTACCTGAATAATCCCCTTTCAACAATTATTTAACAAAATGAGCCCCTTTTTGAAATTAATATATGAAATAGACCATTTTTTAGAGGAAGAATTTGAGTATGGCCATACTTGAAATAGACTGCTCATATCTAAAACTTGATTGCAAATCATCTCTTCAACATCAATTGAAGTTATATGTATTGTTTCTCTCCTGTTATCATTTATTATGTTACATTTATTAATTATGTTATAACTCAGATCTTATTGAACTTCAATGTTCTCCATCTATTTACATTTTCATCGTATTTTTCAATTTCTCTAACTCAGTTACCGGCATAATCATTCTCCTTTTGCATGTTAGTGTTTCTTAAAATGAAATCACTTAAAAATCACCAAGGTTTAACCATATTATAGAACAATTCAATTATAGTATTGATCGGATCTCCTAAATCTCTATTAAATCATGGGCTACAGTCACGTCATAGGTTCAAAAATCGAAATCAATACTGCTTATACAAAATTACATTTTAACAAATCTCGAATTCAATCAATTACTACATAGTCGCAAACCTCGATAAATTCTTAATCTCATATTTCTGAATTTACGATGCAATGGTATAATTCGACTGTTACCACTCCTAAGCTCTCATAATCATATTACAATCACAAATCTAAAAATTTGTATCGTCCCAATTTTAATAGAACTTAAGTATGATTATATTTGCAACCTAAACATAAATTGTTACATTCATACCTATAGGTATATATAGAATTTTAAATAGCGTTCGCGGTCAAATTTTCGGTTGTGTCGCGTTTATCGCAGTTGCGGACATAACAGATGACATTGCGTTCATTGCGGGTGTCGCGGTCGTAAATTTTTTTAAATTTTACACAACTTATCTTAAAATATATTAAAAATAATTATAATTATAAGGAATAATTTTTAAAATGATTAAATCAAATAGAATTAAAATAAAAGTGTAAAATTTAAATATTTGAAATTATGATTACTAAAATTAGGACTAAATTAAATGAAAATTAAACTTTACTATCTAAATTAAGAATTAAATTAAAGAATAAAAAAGAATTAAGAATTAAATTCTAAAATGCTAACTTATAAATCTTAAAAAAATATATGACAATTTATAAGTTTAGATTCTTTAGAACCTACCTTGTAAAATAAATTTTCTTCATTGGTGCATGAAATAATTTTATATATATTTTTTTTAATATAATTGACCGGCCCTTGTTCCCATTTCTCTCATCTTCTTCAGTCTTCACTAGTTCACAGTTCTTCGTTTCTTCTTCCCATCCCCATTCCCCAGTTCAATATTCTTCGTTTCACCCTCACCCATTTCACTCTTCTTCAACCTTCACTGAATGGAAGATTGCATATTTGAAACCCCAAATCCCCTAGTGAAGATTGCATCTTCAATCTTCCTAAGCTAAGCGGGAATTTTTTTTTACAGTTTTACCTTCTTAAATGGAAGCAATAAGCTTGATCTACTCCTTCACCGGCGACGAAGCTCGACGGACAGAAGACTTCCTAGTTCCTACTGATTGGGCTTTGTTTTTCTGGCTCTTCCCCTTCCCGATTGATTTTTGGTAAGATGTGTGGGTAATGGGTATTTGATTCTACCGTTCACTAAATAGTTTTGTCTATATTCCATTCATTTTGATTTTTGTTTTTGTATACGGTTGGTTGAGTGCTTGATTGCAGAGGGAATGTTTATTTTTGTTTTTGTCTTGGAATCACGAGTGAATAAAGGTCGATGCGTCCCGTTATCGGCACAATCGTCCGTTTCCCGTTATATCACGGACGCAATTGACCGAAATTGGTGTGAATCGGTGACCTACCGCAAAAATCATGAAAAACGGTTTCAGGCGGTGGCGTGACCGTAATATAACGGCCGCTATAACATTTTCGGAATGTTATTTGATACCCTGGGTATATATGGTCCCCGAACCGTGCAAATAGACATTAATATTAATATGATTTTATAACAAATTGAGAAAACATTTAGCACACTACTTTTATTTAATTCTATTGTTTTGACAAATCGTTCAAGTAACGATAGTCAAATAGCGAGCTATAAAAACCTCATGAATTTCATTGGCTCGCATCAAATATATTTTACGAACTCTCAAATCTAAGGAACCTGAAACTGAAATTTAAACTTAGACTATGCAAACTGAAACTGATATCTTTTCTAGGATATATGGCATTCAAATACCATTTGTCTTCAATGTAAGAAACCGTTGACCTAGTTTTGAACAGAATGACCAACGCCAGGACTGTGACCAGGCGATGTGGGCCTGAAGTCTTCATGGCTTTTGGGCGGAGGGGATTGGTTTTCTCTTGCTCCATTCACCACAGTTGGTGGTGAAGGTGGAGACTTCGTTTTATAAGTGTTGACAGAAACAGCATTAGTTTTGGGATCAAGGGTAGCCCTAGTTTCCACCTGGTTCTGGTCCAAAATCAACTGCCTTCCTGCAATGCACTGAATTTCCAGGAAGAAAACAAGTGAAAGGAGAAGGAGAATGGAGAGAAGATTGTTTTGGGCCATATGTAATGCTGTAGAAAAAAGCTTTGATTTTTAAGTATGGAATTAAAACAAAGTGAAGAAGAAGATACTTAGCAACTTTGCTTATAGGCCTCTTCGTCCCCTGTGGTTCTAGCTCTATTTATACACGAAGACCAGAGACAGGAAGAGAAAAGAGGTGAAAAAAGACTGCTATTGTTTATGGTTTCTTACAGCCTACCAAATATTTGCATGGGCCATGCATGTTGCATCTCTTCATTATTTATTTAATCTCCTTTTTCGTCCCTTCTTAACCTAGTGCGAAATCACCTTTATATATATATATATATATATTTACTAGGACTGGTACTGCAACCAACAATATTCAATGTGGGAAATCACATGTCCATCATTTTCTGTAGCATTTTATATATGTGATTTGTTTCTATTGAATACTTATCTCAGTGTTCCTAATTAACTTAGCCCCCACCTCCTCACCGTTAAGGGTTTATAAAACATTTTTCTGTCAAAAATCTTTCGTTTATTGTTTTTTTCATGTACCATCTATAAGATATTTTGTCTTTCCAACTTAAAAACCGCTGTTTCTATCCCCCATTCATCTCTCTTTCTTTTAGATTTTAAATTTTAGCTGATATAAAGAGATGTGATGTGTAGCTGTTCACTTCATTCTTCCATTTCGAGGTTGGAGTTCCAATTTTATTAAAAGTTTGATTAACTGGTATATATAAACTAGTTAATCTTTTTCAAAAAGTTTCTTTTACAGTTAGTGCTCTGTTCTTATTAAATCCATAAACAAAACAAATTAATTTTTTATAAAAATATTATTTAGAGATTTAGTATTATTATTTTTATAATCAACGATATTAAGTAATTTTAAATTACATTTAGTGTTCTAACTATAACCTAAAAATGAAGTCTCTAAGATTAATCCTAAATTTTTAACCAATTATTGAATTATTCCTAAATTAAAGTACTAAAGTGAAAATTACCATAAGATGGAGGCTCTAGTTGTTAACCTAGTTAATTATGTCAACTGGATAATCCAATTAAAAGTTTAGGGACTAGAATGTGAAAAGTATAAAGTTAAGGGACTAAATTTAGAGTTAAAGGTTCTAATCATTAACCCGATTAATTATGTTAATTGGAAAAATCAATTTGAGCCCTTGAGCATGAACGCAAGGACCAAATTAAAAATTCCTTTAATCTTAAAGGACTAAAATGAGAAGTCTAAATCTAAGGCTTAAATATAAAATCAAGTACTAATTATGGACTAACAGTACTTAAACAAAAAGATTAACCTTAAGCCCTGATGCAAGCCCTAGACTCACAGAACTCCTCGGTTGCCTTCTCCGACCGACGAAACCAAGGTGATGACCGATGATATAACACCCGAGACTCCTAGACTCCGACGAGGTTCCCTTCTCCACTCAGGTAACGAACTCAACGCTATTTTTTTGTTCGAAATGTTATAAAAAAGGTTGTAAAAAAACCGATTCAAATACCTCTGAAAAATCTGTTTCTATTGCTTTGTAAAAGAAATGGGGGGCGAGTGTCCTTACAATCTGTTTTGTGTGGGTTTTTACATATAACCCGATTACAAAATAACAAAATATATAATATTTACAAAATTTCTTTGCTTGCTTGTGATCTGTTGTGGCTGAGGAGGAATCCATATGATCTACTGCTCTTCTAAAAATAGTTCCTTTGGCATTTTGCAGCAACGGTTTCACAGAGGGAGACCACAACTATGCATTTGATGCACACAGGAGTGGTTGAGGAGAGAGAGCTAGGCGGCCGCGGCGGCAGTGCTGATTGGTTTGTTCTTTGGTAACGCTAATCCCAAATGGCAGCAAGTGATCTACACAATTGATCTGCCCTCCGATCCAATGACCACGAATCAGGTGGCTCGGAAGGGTTTAATGAAACCCTACTCTCTAACCTCTTCAACACTTGGGCTTCTGTTGGTATCTTCCAATGTTGGGCTTCCCATTTTGGGGTTTAAAATTATACAGGCTGTGGTATAATGGGTGACAGGTTATGGTGGTTTGGACTTAGGCTTTGTAATTAAACTTTTGATGGACATTTGAATTTGTGGACATTTAATTTGGGTTGATAAGGAAAATGTAAATGGATATTTGGACCTTTAATGGGTCATGTAAAAGAGTTAAAATTTGCAAATTGCCAATCAGCCATCAAAGTAAGCGAAATTATCCATTCTCATGATTCCACGCTTTCAACTTTATTCACTATTCGAATCAACTTCGCATCATCATATGAACGTCTATAAAATTAAACGTGACTTGCCCTTGATCTGAATTACTCGGACAAAATAAGGGTTCAACAATAAGGTGGTCTAAGAATTGAGGAAAGTATAAAGAGAATGAAAAAAGTACATGTAAAACGACACGGTACAATGGCAGAAACCGGTGCTTCTAAATTGATTGAGGCAGACCAGTGTTGGCAACGGACTGTAGGGTTATGGAGGTTTAAATTGAGCAATGCGACAAACGGCATCATCCCCAATTGGACCACCCCTTCTTTGAGTGCAACTTTCACATTTCATACTATTATTTTGTTATTCCTTCAATGGACCACTTTTAAACGCAGTACATGAATACACTTCCATTTAAGTATTTTGATTAGGGTTTTACTTGCAGGTTTTTTTTTGAATAAAACAATTTAACTGAAAAGTAAAAAGAAACCCATTTGTCTGTATTTACTTTTTTGCTGTAAATACGTTTATCTTTTGAAAATGTGGATAAGGTGATGGGTGATGATTGATAAAAGTGCTTTGTTTTTCCGTGCACCATGTTCAAAGTTTATGCTTCGGCAGGCACTTGAGATAGCTACCAAAGTTTATGGGATTAAGTTCATATATTATTTTTTACTAAAATTTGTGTCTCTTCTTTAATTTGTTCAATTTGATAAATTAAGATCTCCAAAAGTGATATTGATAAATTAAATCAAACAGATTAAAATAAATTGTTTACTTTATTAAACGAATGTGTCTTTCGATTTATTAGTAATTTTCTCTTTTCTTTGGTGTCATTGTCTTGGGTGCTTTTCCTCCTTCAAGTCTCCACCATCATTTTAACTTCGATTACGAAACATTCCCAAACTGATACAGGCACGTCAGTAAATTTCATTTCACCACTTACTATACAAGGACATTGCTCTTATCGATTGCAATTTGTCATTCCCCCTTGTTTTTCTTTTTGTCCAAATAGATTAATCCAACCCTTTCTTTGACCATTAGGAATTGCTTGTGAGTTGTGCCCACACTACCCCATTTCACCAACCAAAATTGTGGCCATTATCCCCATCCCATCTCATGTGACCATCTTTAGTATGAAAATAAAAACTGCATTTATGATCAACTTAAGGTTCATTTTGTTAAGTAGTTTAAAATTTGTAAGACTATATGTATTCAAAAGATATTTTTTAAACATTAATGACGTACATATATCTTATAAATATAGATACTCAAGTCTAACATTTTTAAAAAGAACAACACTTTTTTCTACCATTAAAATCATTTAATAAATTCAACAATCTTTAAATGTTATATTCTATATATCAACATTGTTAGTTAAACTAAAGATTCCATTGATTCATTGGAATTTCTTTAAATCTCTTTTAATCTAATTTTTTCTCTAAAAATGTTTGTGTCGTCTTCTCTTTTTCTCATTTTTTTATTTAGTCGATTGTGACACTAATTTCATATTAGGTTTCGATCGTCTGTTATACTATGTCATTTGTTTTCTTTTTTTTCTCGAGTTTTTAAAATTTTGAATAATATTTTTTTATCTTTGCGACACGTTTTTCTCAACTCTTGTGGCATGTGATTTATCTGCTATTGCGTCAAGATCGTTTTGACTTTTGGTATGTTTTTCGTATACCTTTACGATCGTTTTGGTGTTTATACAAAAATCATCATGATATTTATTTTCTTATTTGTTTGTCGGTGGTCACGTAGAGTCAAATCTCTTCTTTAGTAAATGATTGTTTGCGTATATAATTAGAATTGTGTAGCGAACTATCAGATAGTTTGGTTCGCTCACCACTCGTTTCTCACTTCGTAAAATGTCTCGTTCAACAGAGACAAAGAGTTTTTATGGAGGTTACTGGGTTCTTTTAATGTTGGTCATCATTCTCAATTGTAGGTTCCCTTTTTTCCTACCTTTGGATTTAATACTTTTATTTTTGTACGAGTTTTTTGTGATTACTGTCTCTAATTTCTCTTTATATTTGGGTGTGTTGTATTATGATTCCTTCTATTGTTTTTATTAATGAAACCTAGTTGTCAATATTAAAAAAATTCCATTGATACTTTACTTTTTTAATTCATTGAAAATGTTATATTAAATTTTTAAAAAAATAATTAAATAATCTTTACAACGTAAACACTAGAACTGGTCTTAGTGACTATCTCGGTCTGATACTTGGAGTAATGGTTGTGACATCGTCAGGTTGTGTTGAAGCTGACCTATCGAAGATTCACGCTTTTAATGTTGCTTTTTCGTTGGATAGCGAGTATAGCTAGACCCATATCATACTCGACGCTTGTTGTTAACAAGTTGTCCCAACAAGAGGTGGATCCATCCACGTTGGGTTATCACCTTTTAGAAGCTCGTAAGACACTAGAGGATAGGATCCACTTCAAGGTTTGCTATGCTCCTAGATCTTATAATTTTATTGCTCATATTTTAGCTACGTGGGTTTTTAGGTCTGATAATCCTTTGTATTTTGACTCAGTTTATCCTAATCTTATATCGTCTGCTGTATCAAACACTAATGTTTATGATAATACAAATTCTTGGGATATTCTTTTTCTCTTATAAACTTAAAAGGAATTTTTAGTGAGCCCGTTTTTCTTAAGAGAAACACTGGTATCAGTCATTATCCATGAAGTGATATATATATATATAACATGTATATATTCCTTTTTCATATGACTTCAAAAAGAAGAAAAAAGTATCATTTATTTATTTACAAAAGGGAAGATAAAAGGGACCAAGGGTCCT